TAAAGCATCCCATCAGATTTTCTTTGCTCTTGGGCACTTCCTTTCTGCTTGAAGAATTTCAGGTGTATTTGTTGAAGTAAAATGAATAGGGAGACAACGCAGTTAAAGGTGGATTGATTCATCCTATTCATTTCTTTTTTATGCAGTTTATACATAATTTTATTTTTTATTTTCTGAGTCAACAGATCTAGTTTTTAACATTAGGTTTCATTAGAGAACACAAAGGTATAGAGTAGCCACGATAATCTGTGATTTGGTGATCAGCATTGACGTTTCAGTGTTCCTGTTCTTTTTATAAGTTGGGGATATAACGTTGTTTTACAACAACAAAATGGATCACTCACAAATAGGGTTTTATGCAACAGAAATCATCCTATTTATTTTTGACCAATTTGATGTTAGCCTACTTGCCTGCTTTGGGTCCAGACATTAACACATCTAATGACACCAAAGCTTTGGTCCCTGCCACCCACCAGTCTGGTCCAACCAGCTACCTGGAATGGGATCCATAGAACAACCCTGGGCAGGAGCTGCTTTTTGCCACCCAGGAGTTGTTGCACCAAGTACCAAGATTGTCTGCCTTCCCGCCAACCAGTGATCCCTGCCACGGAGCTGACGGATCTGGCCCCTTGTTTGGCTGAATATTATTGCCTTGCTGTCTGCTGTTATTTCAACAGGCTAATCCAATAATGTTTTATCTCTTTCATTATACGGAGGCCGTATAATTTTCTTGAGTTATAATTTATCTTCTTTTAAGATTCCCCAGAGACAGAGAAGAGCAGTTGTCTTGGGTTGACAGGAGGCTCCCACGAAGCCGACACCAGCACATCCAGGCGAACGCTGCCAAATTAAATTCTGAATCTCAATCACAGCCACCGCTTCTAATGGGAAATTTGAGTTGATTATGGAGATGACAGCCCAGGTTCACGTTTATTGCATTTAGCAGAAATTGTTTATCCTATTAAATATGGTCTTGAAGGAGAGACAATTGAATTGCCAAGCACCGGTGAATACCCGGGTGACGCCCAGGCGCTGCTAAACTGTGTAATAATTATATTCTTATTTGTGGGCTAAACTTCCCCCCATGGCTCTTTTTGCAAACAAATACATTTAGGAGGAGACTGAAACATAATGCGAGAATTAAACTAAATAAATGCAAACTGTACTTTTGGAGAATCCTGGCCACTGTCGCTCACCCTGGTGTACCTGTGAAGGAGCTGGGCTGTCCAAGCGGCAGAGCCCCAGTGCTGTGGCTTGGCAGATGTCCTGGAAGCATGAGATACCCGGTGTGGGAGATTTCTAGATTTCTGCATCCAGAAGAATGAACCTTTGAAATGCTGCGAGCTCCTCTGAGCACTTACTGTCAGGGTGGGAGGCTTCCCGTGTGACCTTGGACTAATAACATAACGTCTGTGGGAATAATAACTATTGTAATTAGTTTAACAATAGTAATAATAATAATAGCTGCCAATTATAGAGTGCTTCTCAGTTTATGAAGTCTTTTAACCTACATTATCTCATTTAATTTTTATCTGAGTTTGATGAGGTACTTATTAATACAGTTGTCAGATGGCAGATAGAGGAAAGCTTCAAACAGAAATCAGATCCTTCCTAAGAATGAACTGTCTATGGAAATCAAGGTGGGATACAGAGGCCAGGAAAAAGCTCCTGCTGGCAGAGAATCCAGACGAAGGGAAGTGCCCTGTCTGTCTTCGGATGATGCTGGCCCCCTCCCCAGGACTTACAGGAAAGCCCTTGGTAGAGAGTGTGCCTCATACTTTTGAAGATGCTGAGCTGGTCCCCCTTGGAGTCTTCACATTTAGGAAGAGATTGCAACATAACGTGAGAATTAAACTAAATAAATGCAAACTGTACTTTTGGAGAATCATGTCTCTTCTCTTCTTTTTTTTTTTCTTTCTGACCATCATAAGGTGAGAAGGTGAGCAACTCTGTCCACCACATGCTCCCTGCCGTGATATGTTGCCTTACCACAAGCCCCAAAGCAATGGAGCCCTTTGGCCATGGAACAAAAGCTGAAGTCATAAGCCAAAATAAGTCTTTCATATTTTTATTATCTCAGTCATTTTGTTATAATAACAGCAAGCTGACAGCACAGAAGAGATGTTTATTCTCTCTGTTCATACTTTATCCTGTACTTCCCTCACCGACCCTCATCACAGTGCACAGACAATCGGAAGCATAGATGTATTTTGTTTTACAGATTGCAGATACTATTAATAACATCATGTCTATCCACCAATGTTTCTAGACTTTGCAGACATTGTGTTATAACTTACTCCTTGGTGATCTCTTATTCTTCACAAATATAATACCCTTAGAGGTAGGAGCACTATACTAATATATCCTGAGGACCAGGCACAATGTTGGGCACTAGTGGGTCATCAATAAGTAACTGTTGCATGAATTAATGAACTAATGAAATAGGTTGAATTGGGGCCAAGGGAAGAACCTCCCTCTCCTGGTAAGAAACTTGAGTGAATTGGTGGCATATGATGGTGGCATCATGAGACTTGGGACATAGCAACCCCAAAGATAGGGGCATCTACACAGTGGTGAAGGGGACATACCTTCAGCTGGCTTTATAGGCAACATTGCAAAAGAAAAGTGAAATATAAGAGGAAGAATTATCACTGACATCAGGAAGGGGCTGACAGTGCATGTTTGTGGGTCATGGTGGTAACACCCTCAGGGAGAGCTAGGAATCTCCAAGTAACTTTACAAAGAAAGGGCACTGGAAGCTCTAATCATCAGTGGAGCACACCTGAGAAACACATCCAGAGACTGTTGAGGAAACTAAGGTTCAAGGTTCTGCCCTGTATATGGCAGAGACAGGAAAGAATAACCTTTAAAAAAAAAAAAAAAAAAAAAAACAACTCTTCTTCCAACCTTTTGCCTCGACCTCAGGTTTCTCATCTCTTGGACTAGTTTGAAACCTGGACCACACACCTGAAATCTAATAGCAACACATTGAAACTATACACCTTAGGTCTTTGAGATTCTTGTTTATTAACTGTTATCATAAAATCAGATTTTTCTATGCAGTATTTTTCTCTTTGAGTCAACTTGCCTCAGCATTCAGCCAGACTCCAAAACTGAGGCGTTCAGATACTCCAGGGCCTGTTTGTGAAGATGGTGTGATGTTACTGCTCAGGCAGAACTGGAGACAGCAGAGGGTAAGCAGAGAAGTGTTTAGACTTGTTCTCTGATGCCAGGGTGCTACAATGGAGGCCAGGCTCTGGGGTTCCCTATTTTTGACTGTAAGCAGGTTCTGTACCAGTCTGCACCTTCATTTCCTCACCTGTAAGATGGGGACGATGGCATTAGCAACCTCTTAGCATGTTCTGATCATCATCTGGATGCCTGTATTTCAGAAGACACCTTGGACCCATTCAGTTATAACTAGCTGTGTCATTTCCATGGTCACTTCCAGAGATTCTCAAAACACCAACAAGAACTACAGATTGTTGGGTTTAAAAAAAAAAAAAA